TGGGTCTTTCCCTGGATTTGGAATCAAAGTAATACTTGCTTCCAGGAATGAATTGGAAGTATTGCTTCCCTTTCAATTTCCTTGATGAGTTTAAAGAGTATTGGCAATAGTTCTTCTCTAAATGTCTTGTATAGTTCAGCAGTGAAGCCATCAGGACATAGGCTTTTCTTTGTTGGTAAATTTTTTACTACATTTTCAATTTCACTAATTGTAATTGGGATGTTTAGAATTTCTATATCTTCTTTGTTTAAATTTGGCAATTTGCATGTATCTAGGAATCTGTCCATTTCTTCTGTGTTTTCCATTTTATTAGAGTACAAGTTCTCAAAGTAGGTATTGATGATGCTCTGGATTTCTGCTGGGTCTGTTGTGACTTCACCTTTTTTTTCTTAATTGCATGGATTTGAGTCTTTTCTTCCCTTTTTTTTGATAGGGTTAGCCAAAGGTTTATCTATTTTATTTGTTCTTTTGAAAAACCAACTCTTTGATTCATTGATTTTTTGTACTGTTCTCTTAGTCTCCATTGCATAGATTTCTGCTCTGATCTTTATAACTTCCTTTCTTGTATGAGCTTTGAGTTTGTTATGCTCTTCTTTTTCTAGGAGATTGACGTTCTGCATTAGGTTGTTTAACTGAGTTCTATCTGTTTTCCTAATATGGGCATTCACTGCTGTGTATTTCCCATGTAGAACTGCTTTCACTGTGTCCCATAGATTCTTGTATGTTGTACTGGCATTATCATTTTCTTGTAGAAACTGTGTAATTTCTTTTTCAATTTCCTCTGTGACCCATTAGTTGTTCAGGAGGGTGTTATTTAATTTCCAGGTTTTGTTGTTTCTTATGTTATTGACCTCCAATTTTATTGCAGTATGGTCTGATAATATACAGGGGGTAACTTCAATTCTTTTACATTTACTTAGACATGTCCTATGAGTTACAATGTAGTCTATTTTTGAGAATGACCCGTGTGCAGCTGAAAAGAATGTGTATTCTGATTTTGTGGAGTGGGATGCTCTGTAAACATCCATTAAGTCCATTTGTTTAATGGCTTGGTTCAGTTCCAGAATTTCATTGTTATTTTTTGTCTAGATGATCTGTCTATTTGTGATAGTGGGGTATTGAGGTCCTCCACTACAACTGTATTAGTGCTTATTTGGTTTTTCATGTCCATTAATATTTGTTTTGTATAGTTGGGGGCATTCATTTTTGCTGCATATATATTTAAGATTGTCATCTCTTCCTCTTGGATTGTTCCCTTCACAAGGATGTAGTGACCTTCTTTGTCTCTCTTAATTAGTTTTGCTTTAAAATCTACTTTGTCTGCAAAGATGATTGCTACCCCTGCTTTTTTCTGGGATCCTGTCACATGGAGAACTGTTTTCCATCCTTTTACTTTCAGTCTATGAATTTCTTTTTGAATTAGGTATGTTTCTTGTATGCAGCATATTGTTGCATTTTCCTTTTTAATCCATTATGCCAGTCTATTTCTTTTGATTGGTGAATTGAGGCCATTAACATTGAGAGATATAATTGATAGATATTGACTCATCCTTGTCATGATGTTTTACTATTGTTGGTTCTTTTATTTCTTATTTTTTTCCCCTTGCCCTTTAGTTTCTTACTTTGCCTGGTGGCTTCCCTATGTTGGGCCTCATGGAGCTGTGACCTTCATTGTCTTTTTCTAGGCTATTGCTTGCAATTGTTTGGACTGCAGGTTTGGTGTTCATGAAATTTCTCAGGTGTTCTTTGTTGTGGAAGTATCTCATTTCCCCATCAATTTTCAAAGATAATTTTGCAGCATACAACACTTTAGGTTGGACATTATTTTCTTTTAGGGCTTGAAATACTTCACTCCAGGCTCTCCTTGATTTGAGGGTTTGTGTTGAGAAGTCTGCCATGATTCTGATGGGCTTTCCTTTATAAATGATTTGTTTCTTTTCTCTAACTGTTCTAGGATTTTGGTCTTCTGTTGGGTTTCT